GTTGAGCAGTAACCATGGCGGCTTGGTCGATATTGGCTCCAGGTGCGAAGCTGATCTGATGCATGCGTGAAAGTCTCCGCGACGGAATTAAGAGCATCTGAGCCATGTCGTATGTCTTTTGTAAACTGAGAAGCGTAGTCTAAGTGTCTAGTTCCCCACAGCGAGTACTTATCTGTTGCAACATTGATTGCGCAGGTCAATGGCTTGTGGTCAGTAAAGACTGAAATGTCGGAAGTGTCGGATACCTATGTAGATTGCTAGTAGTTACCTACCGATTTGGGAGACTGAATAAGTGCCTTCAGACAGGCAACTGTCAACTGTTGTGCCCAAGATGTGTCAACGTACATTGTGCGAAAGTCATCAAGGCATTAGCTTTCTTTGCATTGCCTCCAAATTTCTCAGGGTATCCTTCTTCAACATCTTACTGATCCTCGTCACAGTTATGTCATTGTGAGTCCTACGGGTTTTCGCGCTGCTCCTGGTTGTATCAACCACATATCTACTCTTCGGCAACTGTTGGGGCATGGACGACCGAATACGGCGGTTTTCCTTGACACCAAAGCTGTTGATCGCGCTAACTTGTGGCATTCTCTATCCATGAAGGGCATCCAAAGTAAACATTTCCGAATGTTATTCCTTCTTGCTATTATGACATTTGTTAAGGGAAGATCTTGTATGTACTCCTTGTGTTCGTTCGTTCAGATATGAGTCGAACCAGCTTAACAGAGGATTGCTTATCCCATAGGACTCAACTCTTACCAACAATAGTTTGTACGGTAGATTCCATCACAACGAGATTGGACCTTAGCATGGTTCGATAACTTGCGTACCCCCGTGACCCATGAGCTATCCTGCGTGGCAATTTCCAAGGGCCTACAGAGCCACTCATACCAGACAGATCAATAGTTAATGGTCAGACTAATTCAGTCTCTCAATCCAGTCCTCTCCGGAGGTTAGGGGGAGGTCGATGTCCCTCTTCCTTTAAAACCTAGCCATGTGAGACAACAGATCTACGTGTTTTTGACTCAGCACAGTTGGCGTAGAGCACGAGCGCCACACATTTTTTTCTGCCAGTGGGTGGGTACCTTCCGGTGCTCAATGATTTGTTACCACCCGCTTCAAGCCAGGTATCCCCTGGTCACATTGGTACACACCCGCTAACTTCCATCTGCAGCTGGCCATGGCCGCAGCTGCGTAACGTAATACAGTCGTAAACCATGTGAATTGTTCCAAATGTTCAAAGGCTGTGTGTGACAGGCCTCGAACTGATTCCTCTGGATCTAAAATCCTACTCCCGAGCTGGAATTACTTCTCACTATCTCGAGGGTCAGGCTTTTGAGCTAAAGGTTCCGGGTGGAGTCCTTCAAGCAAGCCTCCAAATCCCCCCCACTGGTAAGTCAGACTGTTGCGGCTAGAGGTATGGCACCTTGAACAAAACTCCTCTCTCGGAATGGGCAGCCGGAGAGTATCCTCTGTCCTGTCGACCACGTCGACAATTCTCCCTCTTCTTATTTTTCTCTTCCCTCTCAACTCTCTTCTTTACCGTCTAGTATACAAGGATCTGCCGCTGACTTCGCTGCTTTTGCCATCGATACTCGTAACTCGTTCATCAAATCACGTGTCTCATTTCACATTGGTTCTTTTAATGTCCGCACTCTGGGTCAGATCAGTCAGCAGAAATCACTGACTTTCACTCTTCAATCTTTGTATTGATGTGTGCTATCTCCGAAACATGCATACAAGATAACAGCGTTTTGACGAATCTTCGACTCTCTGCTTCTGAATCTGACCACAATGATTACACTCTTCGCGCCTCTGGTGATATCGAGTCAATGGCTCAAGGTATTCACGGCATTGGTCTCGCTCTCAGCAGACATGCTGAAGGTCATCTACTCGATTGGATACCGGTGAGCAGCCGCATGTGTGCGCTTCGACTTCCAACCTCTGGGTTACTAAGCACGGTAAGAAGACAAGTTATCTTCTCATCGCCGTTTATGCTCCTACTGACTGCAATTCGGAGGGCACGAAAGATGATCTATACTATCTTTTATTTTTGGTACCCTGATGCAAGTACTCAGAAGAAGAAATCCGGAAAGACACCACGAACTTCTAAGCCTAAATCTAAACAACGATACAGCAACAAACGATATAGTCGAAATATTTGCTTCGATGAATCCCTAATTTGTCGCCTCGTTTACTACGGCACTATCTCCTCCCCTCCTGTCGTTCTAAGAAAAGCGCAAGAGGTACTATGTCATTCATCTGAATCTAAAGGATGTACAAATGACTATAGCATCCATTAAACCGACTTTCCAACCTGGACCTGATGTTATTCCGCCAGCAACTATAAGGTTAGGTGGTGAAAACGTATCTCCTCATGTTGAATATTTCCACAGTCACTATACGCTAGTTGCTTCCAGCCTCAGTAGAAAAATTCCGCAAAGGCGCTCTACTAGATAGATTGTCAAATTATCGACGGATAAACCCTACCTCTGCCGCCTCTAAGGCCTTAGAGAGAATCGTCAAGACTGGTAACTCAGTTCCTGACAAATCCAAACCTACTCTGCAGTTCCCAACATGGGTTCATTATTAACCGTTCTTGGGTCACATGCCAATTGCAACTCCTTGATCATGTTACAGCAATCTTAGGTGACAGCACAACCATCATCATCCTTCTGGATATGCAAAAGGCGTTTGACTGTGTACCACACAAACCATTGTTGGCCGTGTTGGAGTCCTATGGAATTAGCAATCCTCTCTTGAGTTGGTTCGAATCATATCTTAACGGCCGAACACAAAGAGTACAGATTGATCAATATTGTTCCACTTCCAGAAATGTCACGAGCGGTGTTGTTCAGGGCGGTGTATTTGGCCCATTGCTTTCCTCATTTACATAAACGATAAGTGATTACATTAGACACGGGCGCCTATTTGTATTTACGGATGACATAAAACTATTGTGCTAATTTCCACCTAACCATCTTTTGAACTGTGCTTAAAAAATATGCGCGTGGACTTATAATCCCTAAACAAATGGAGCGAAAGCTAGTCAGTGAGGTTTTATACAAATGAATATCTGATACTCTGCTACAGATGCAGTATGCCAGAAGGATCCATCACGCTACCTGGCACCCCCATCCCAATTGCGTATTCCCTTCGAGGCCTAGGAATTCGCTATTCGAGCAACCTCAACTTCTCCGAACACATCTTACATCAAGTAGCAAAAGCGAAACAACTAACAAACTACATCACTAGGTCATTTTGCCTATCCCAAACACGGCTTGAATCATTCAAACTAATTGTGCGACCTACTAGAGTATTTTGTTCGTCGCAATCAGCCGACAATTCAGATATGTCGACCAGCTGTCCGGAAGAGCACCAGACGGCCGTTTCGCCCTATTGGGGCTCATCAGTGGTGCGCATCCTTCGGTCCTCTGCGGAGGATCGAACCCATGACTGCTAGTGGCTCTTGCCAACTAGCCCGCAGCTTATGCAACTGCGCCATGGAGGACGGTATTGCGCCATCATACATAACCACTTACGTACAGATAGAATTGCTTTGAAAAACGTCCAGCGCTCATTTACCAAAATGCTCATGCGGCGCTCATCATCGTTTACTTGTGAGGAGCGACGTTCTCACCTCCAGCTCGATCCACTCTGGCTTAGACGGCTGAAAATCAATCCCACTTCTTTTTACAGCATAATATGCTCGCGAGTTTGCTCAACCAGTACGACCATCGCATTACATAATGGCTCAACCTACCCCACCCTCACAGAGAACCAATAAAAATATCCACTTAAAATTCTTCCTGGTGAAGTACGCGCATCTGTGGAATAAAGTCCCGTTGCACTTAAGGATCTGCGAGAGCCTGTACATTCTTAAACTAATTTAAAAACGTTTCTTTTCATGTCAAATGTGTACAAACGTTTCGATCTTCAGCAATTCACGACGTGCTCATGGAATCGGGCCCGAACCACATATGACAATATGAACTGTCAACTAGTGTTACCTATTATATACGCAACAAAACATTGCATAACTCTTTCACATTGAATGGGATTCGTACATGAAATAATAACGAAACTCGCTGTACAAATGATCGTTCCACAAAGGGGAACGTATCTCGCTCTTCGGGAAATATACCCCTTTTTATTTAGCTTCTCCGCATGACGAAGATACTGACATGATGATTGTTGCTGTTAACTTGAATGCCCCAGTGGGTCGTATTTCAGACTGAGCAAAACCTGGGGGGGCACCTCGGAGTCGATGCACGCCGAACAAATAATGGGGATCGATTCCTACAACTATGCGTTGGGCACACTTTATATTAGCAGCACTGCTTTCCAGCATAAACGTTTACATCGCGTCACCTGGTACCCACCGAATTCCTCAATGACCTGGACCAAAATTGACCATATTGCCATCAGATACACGTGGCGCACATCAGTCCAAGACTGTCAATCAATTTGGAGCACATGCCTGGATTCCGACCATGCTCTAGTGCGCGCATGCTTGGCGCTCACTCTTCCCACTTCAAAGAAGCGCTTACCTTCTAACCTTCTTACCTGTAACTTGAACTCGCAGTGTGCGGTTCAACAATATCATGACGGTCATACCATGTACCATGCACTCGCGTTAGTCACTGAACAAGCAGTACGCGCCTGCGTGCGTTTACTCACGCTTTACCTAATAACATGGGGCACGAACTATTTTGAGTTCCTTACGGAGAAACACAATTTCTTTAGGCAGGAATTCAATTGTATTATGGAAGCAATTGGCTGAGAAATGCTTTGGCGGTTACTGAGTGTTTGGTCGTCTTGTTCTTCTCAGCGATTTGAACTTGTTTGTGTGGTTTTGTACTTCCCAGAAAAGGATGTCGACGAGTTATTTGAGTCGTCATTTGCGCCTAACGATTGCTGTTTATCTTTTGTCTGTTTTCGCACCTTTGTTCTCCTTTTTTAGCCAAAACACCAGTTCTTTAGTTTGTTGGCTCTTTTCCATGTCTGGTTTGGGCAAACGCTTTATCACTGAGAAGGACGCCGAAGCCAGAAAAAAGGCTCAAGAAGCTGAAGGAGTCGTAGAAGAACCTTACGATGCACGTTCCCTCTACGATCGACTTCAGGTGGGTTAATCTCTAAACTGATCACCCAGCCGCGCGCTTATGCGACTGGTCTTGTCCACTCAACTTCGCCGTTGTACGGATCAATCCTTTTCATTACTTGGGCTACCTGAGCCTAAATGCCGACCGATGATTTATCTAGGCAATAGTTGAACTGGTTCATGTTTGATTACTATCCCCGTTTTTCTGGTTGCTTCATCATCATCATCATACACATTAGCTAGAGGTGGGGAACACCTCAGTTACTGTGCCGCAATACATAGAAAAAAGAAAAATATGCAACTGATGCAAGCCGGCTGAGCTACCGGTAACGCATGGGCATCGTTCCGGTAAGCTACCAGCCGGATACTGTGCATCAAAAAATTGCTATGCAAAATTATATAAGGTTAAATAATGAGATCGTGGTTGGAGGGGGAGGCTAAGAGGGATTGAGTGGGACAAAGAAACTCACAGCACGAACGCCACTAAGGTCGGCTCCTAGCTATATCAGCAAGTGTGTCCAGCCAAACGTGTTCATCGTCTTTCGGACCGCAAACAGGGAGTCGAGACGCTTTAACCGAAGCCAGCTCAGAAGTGAGGGCCTTCATTCCTTTGTACCAAGTCATCGCTTGGCCACCCCTCCTCTTCTTCCATCCACACCCCCGGCGCGCAAACAACGCACGTCGCGGGAGTCGGTGGGCTGGCATGCGTAACACGTGGCCGAGCCATCGGAGCTTGATGCGTGAAATAACGGTGCTGAGCGGTTCAGTTCCTTTTTCCTGTGCCATAAACAAGGCTTCGAACACGCTCGTTGCTTAGTTTCCCTTTGTCATTATATCATCTTCCATTCTTGTGTCAGACTGCGAGATAAAACCAGAGGAGTGTAACCCTACAAAGCTTATCAACCTCCTACTATGGGTTGATATGAAGTCACATTGTTGTCGACTAAAATCAGAAAAACCCGAGGGATAAATTGCTAGCAAAATTCATAGCCAGATGTCACCAGTGTGTTGACCACTAATGCATTCACTTATTTGATCGTATGGGTTCAGATTACCAGCTGTCTTAATCTGAAGTCAACAAGCCGCCTGCATCCCTGAAGTATGAATATATGCTATTTATTCATACAGCGCTGCACATTTTGTACCATCTGACCAATAGAATTCTAGTGTTGTACACGGAGAAATCCCTCTCGCAGCCCGCATCAGCGACTAGGCACCGCCCCGTGACTTGTAAGTTTATGTCCTGATTGCCTGTCACTACGGCTTAATACCTCTTCATTCTTTAGGAGACTACTCAATAGATCGCACTATTAAACGAGGCTTTTGCTTACTACTACGATTGGTTTCCCTTGCCCCATGTTCAGAAGACCTTACCTGAGCTGCACGTATTTTAAGATACAGTGACTTAAGTCTTCTTTACCCTCCTTTAAATGTGCCTTTCACCAGAGTGACAGTTCTTTTTAGCTGACGCCCTATCAGCAGTCATCTTTGACATGAACGACCCAAGGTGGAGAGAACACCTCTGCTAAGACGGTCGTAGGTACACTGAATGTATCAGCAGCACACTGATACTTCCGAATAAATAAACGGTATATTTCTCGACACTGTGAGGCACAGTCCAACTCACTGATCGATGCTTCGGGGCCAGGCAACGGCATGCGGTTACAAGGGAACCCTTTTAGGATCTGGGGCTCAGGTGTTGCTAGTCATATAACTTAATCAAAGCACCACGTTTTGTGATCTTCGTTGGTCTACACATTCTGACAGTCATTGCCTAGTTTCTCTGTCTTCCCCTAACGCGTCTGCGCAAATGGTGGCAGACAAGTTCGTTAACACAAGTACATAAAATTCATGCTTGTACTCGTACTCTGTAGCCTCTTTAAAATGGACGCTGCTTACCACCTTTGAAAAGTTTTTGCGGGTTCTAGTTTGTGTCTTCCTAGCATATCAGTACATGGTCATTTTGGTTGTCTAGCCATCCTTCTACTCGGCTTATCGTGGTATCTTTGAAAGTTATCGGCTTGGATGTACTTACTCCCCTAAGCACCCGCCAATCTTCCTCCACCGACTTCATTGCTAAACTGAAAGCTGTGAAAAGGCATCAACATCATTAGATGATTTCGTATCGCCGTTCACGAATCCGGTGCTACCACATGTCGTTTCGCTGGTCGCCTAATGCTATTATGCACCTTTGTGTGATCAAGTTACGTCGCTTCGTATACAGATGTTTCGGGACAAGAAGTAAACGAGCCGCGAAGGGTGAAGTGTGGCATGGAAATGGTATAAACCAGAACCCACATTAAGCGCGATTGCTCACTGGTCAGTTGGACCTGTTTATATATGGTTGGCGGCATCCGGTTCCGGATTTGCATGTCACTGCGGCCTACACGGGGACATCCACAGGATGCCTACGCCTACAGAAAGACTATGGTTGGCTTGCGCTGCACCACCCACAGCTCCATCCACACACCCCATATCCAGTGTAAACCCGAAGGAGTAAGACCAGGAGGCATGTGGATGGGAGCCAAATTTCTTCAACGGAGCCGGCCCACACTCCTTCACAGGCAAACACAAGCACGCTGTATTTGGGGAATCAAGCACATACAAGGCGGTGTTTATTCCTTAGCCCGCCTCAAACTGAGTGCATGGAACCACTTCGAGTCTAACAGGGTCACGAAGACCGTGAAGCCCGTCACCTTCAGCAACGACCAACTGCCTCCTAAAGCCAGTATAGATGAGGTGGTGGGTAGTAGACAGGTAGGCACCTTATCAACATGCACATCAAGCGCAGTCACACCGGGGATATATATATATATATGTATATATATATATATATATATATAGCGCCATCAGAGCAATGGAAAAAAGGGGGAAACCAAATATATGGCGTTAGAAAACGTTAATTTGATTTTACTCACGCCAATTTGAGTGCTTGTTTGTTTCGGAGTTTTTGTGTTCGCTTAGACGTTAACTAATAGGTGATTCTATTGAACAACACTGTCGCCACTGATGTCTATTGCGCGCCACAACCTCCAGCGTTTCCAACCACTGGGAGTCCGAGTCGCGTGGTCCCCATTCTGGAGGGCGGACCGAACTGTTTGCCTCGAATATTACTCACTTCTCGGAATAATGTTATGTGTTCATCAATCCGTCTGCTATGCGTTATTCCATCAAGCATTTATTTCGCTTGTTCCGTCGTCGTTCAGAATAACGATTTCGCCATAGTTTCTGGTCATGCAACCTGACTGTGTTCACCCGAACTTTTGTTCAAAGCTTGTTGAGTGCTGCGTTCTGAAGGCCTATCTCTATGTAGAAATCGCCGTCTTTCGCATGGTGTTATTTTCTCAGATCCAAGCCTACTAGTGATAATTATGCGGCTCGTTCATTCGCAACAAACTTTTGTATCACTTAATGTAACTTATCTTGGTTCCTCATGTTCCTTTTATTATGGATGAGTTTTATAGGTCCATTTTAATATCATTTTGGAAGGATCAGACATAGGGAGCTGGGATTGGGCTACACTGTTCCCTAGTGTCCATACCATTACTTCATTACCCATTTATACTGTGAGTTCTGTAAGTTTGCGTGATGTACAACTTTACACTAACAGCTGTACTAACGGATTTTTGCCACCTTTATCATCTGCTATGCTTTCCCATTCAACGCACTGATTGCGTGAACCTAGTGAGCATAGATCCAGAAAACTTCCCCCAAGTGCGATCTCCGTTCTTACCAATGGGTTTGAATCTCTGCAGCGATCCATCCAAGGGCACCTTAGTTGCCACAGTACAGCAGCGTCATGAGTGACCCACCATTAGTTCATGCAGTGCGAAACAGACGTCGAATGTTTTCCCGTATGCCTAATTTGGAAACATCTGAAACAACTCCCGATAAAATTACTCACACGTTCGCCCTAATCACTTTTAACTGTTATCTTACATAGTCGCTACCACAAAAAATCATGCCTCTAGGGACCAGCCTTGTCCTCTGCAAGACTCGTAACCTCGCAGGACACTGAAGGATGAGTCGCGCTATGTCTCAGTTAGCATGCGCCCTATGACGTTCTGCTGCCACCACCATCGATCAATAAGTGCGATGAGTTGCCTCATCCAATTTGTGGTTTCTAAGGTGATTCATTCTCTAAAATTCTTCCATAAATATGGTACACAGTGCATTGGCCGCAGATAAACTGGAAACCACCACGTATTCCATTTGACATGAGCTCGGACAGAATTGATCTCTCTTACATAATTGATTGGTTTTTAAATTTCGTATGTCAGCAGATTACAGTTCGAGAATCCCTGTCTCTGAGCTCACGACAGTAGACACCGAACTATGCAAACTAGTTGAGTAGCACATGAACCATGGGGGTCAAGCGTTCATAGGTCAAACAGCAGTAGTGCACAGCATCGGAACAAATCTCGCATGTATATGCTGGCTTAAAGGTACGATCAAGTGCGGCTGTCCGCTTTAGCAACTCACGTACCCGAGCGGCACCAGAGCAAACAAGAGTGCAGTGCGAACCGAAATTGTGGTTCATATTCCACTTAATTTACTTGTTAGATGTTAAACTAATTCACGAGTTCGTGTCAAAGACGACGATTTATTTACATTATTTGAATACTATTTCATCGATGCACTGCATTGGCAGTTGCATATGTATGCGAATCCCTTGTTAGACTCATTTCAAGTAGTTTTTATCTGGTTGAAAGCAATGGTGTATCGTGCAGAGTTTTTCTGCTTTTTCCGCTAACATAGAAGATCCAGTTCACTTACAGAAAAACAATGTATTAGTTGACTGCTAATGTATCAAACTGACCTTCCAATTCTCTGACTTCGAACCTTTGTTGCTCTACCTCATTGTAGCCCTTTGGTGCATCGACCCTGACGCACAGAGTACTTTTATGTGTCCACACGGAAACATTCTAAGTCGAAAAATTGCTTTAACACTCACGGTTTTTCTCAATCTCTTTGTTTCTCACTGTGGTCAGATCGAAAAGGACCGTAAACAAGAAGAGTATGAGGCCCAGTCTGCCTTGAAAAATCGCATCCATCGATTGGACAAGGAGGAAGTGGAGTATCTGCAATCGCTGGCGATGAAACAACAAAAAGAACAGATGCACAATGAGGAGGAGGTTGCGGCGCTGGTGCGGGAGGCACAGATATCCTTTTCCTGTGGTTGAAGCATTTCCCATTGGTTATTATGACAACTCTCAGTTGCGGCGGCTTGTAGCTCTAACGTTGAAAAGCGTCTTATCGTCACATATATGTCAGTACTTAGACCGAAACCTCATACAGGCATTGGTGATATCAGTGGTTACTGTGGTTTTGTTATTTTCATGACTGTAATGAATCCATTGTACCAAGACCCCATATCCATCACTATGTTTCCAAAGTAGTGGTTGAAGGCGCTCTCTTACAAGCCACTATCCCCAGCCTAGGCGTTTTGGGAATCCGGCACATTAACAGCTGAATCTTCGACGTCAGAACCATTCTTGTGGTGCGAATCGCATCACAGTGTACAGCAGAGACCTGTTTTCACTCAACCATGACCATCAGCATGAGGGAATGTGCCCTCCCGCCTATTGCTAAATGAGTAGACTCTGCGAAACACAACTTACTGTAGAATTGTGCACCAAGCACTTTCTCAAAGCTCACGTCGTTTACGCCGAGGAAGATTATGTCCTTGTTAGTCAGACTAACTCCGCACTGGCTCTGACACGCTTGTCAGTTCCCAATGGGGAATTGTCTTCTCATCGCCCGCATTTGATTGCATTCTTTAGACTTGACTCCTTATGCAATACTAGTGCCGTCAGTCTAAGGGTCCACTGCTTAGATCTCTTCGATTTTTTTCATTCCATCTCTGTATCGTGTGGTTTTGCTTTCAAACTGCTGACATGCATCATGTTACGGGGAGCCACCGATCCATGTCAGTGCAAATCATCTTGTGTTTCACCCCGATGGAATGGGCGTGACCACATCTTCATTCTGGCAGTTGCTTCAGCATGTCCCAGTAATCTTCCTTGACCAGAAGACCACCTTTATTCCGGCTGCTACAATTTGTTTATGCAGATATCTACACTTTAAGGGCATATCGGAAAAATTCACTTCTGTGCTTGCATCCCTACTGCGACTCTATGTTGACCCTGTAAAGTCTACAGGCAACTCTTCTCTACATTCCTCACAGCAAGTAGAGTGCGTCAGCGCTGCGCAATCTCTCCAAGTCTCTTTGGTTCTAGGGTCGAATTGTCACAAATGATCGCTGCTTCTTACCACTTCCCATACGGTCGATTTTCTCTCCCTTGACCCTCTACCAGGTCTGGAGTATCGGGCCACAAAGCACATTTGTATCTCGATCAGCTACCAGACAAACGCTGTTGCATTGATCGACGTGTATCGGTGCACGCGTTGACATGTACTTTGCACCTTTAAACTGCGAAATGCCGTTACCACTTTTCACATACACCGGGCGCCACATCGAAATTGACGGTCATATCACTGAGGAGGTTACTACTCGCATTGCTAAGGATTGTGCAGCTTTTCAAAGCTACGGCCATTTATGAAGACGGTGTGATGTGATCGCGATGGTTTACAGCGCTATGGTGCGGCACACCTGTTAGTTAATGGATTAGGGACCTGGCCGCTTTGTACAGAGGACCTCAGGGAACTGCTCCTGTCTTGTGAGAGAATCAGATGTGTGCTATTGAATTTCATCTATTCCTGTCTAGTATCAGGCCCTCATTTGAGTTCAGTTCTCTTTCAATCGCTTCGTGATACCCTTCGGCTGGCGCTGTACCGATTGTCGCAGCGTGTATTCTTTGTCAATACTGCGCCTAGTGGATTGAAATACCGATGTGGCGGCAGCTTAAAGAGGATTAGCGGAACTCACCGAAAGTTGTATTGAGTTGGTGCCTGTTGCCTAATCGGATCACGGGGTGGGTGGCGATATTGCATGCATTTCCTCATCACTGCATAACAATCAACCTGCCTGACAATGTTACTTTTCGCCAGTCCGGAAAAAAACACTTCCTCCGCAAGACTTTCAGTCCGACCGCAGAGAAAATCAGAAGTCAAACAACCTTGACAAAATACTTTGTTAAGCGTCGCGAAAATGCGGCAGACCTTGGTCATATCCATAATCACTTAAGGACCTCCGACTGGTCAATTAGTAAAATTAATAGTGCCGTACCGACCCACCCAATCTTCGGGAGGTTGGGTAGTCACGTGCAGCCTTGGAATTTGCCAGAACGTTCGAAATTGATGCGATAATCGGTAACAGTTGATTAATCGCTTAATGCTATTTTTTCAAGGAAATTCCTACTTTCTCTTGGACAACTATTATTATTATAATGACGTGGGCCATGACAGCTGGACCCACCACACTGGCGATCTGTATTGCGCTGAATCTTAATTTTAGTGCCGCGGCGACATGCAACTTGGACACTGATGCACTTTGTCATCGCGCGAACTGTTGTGTTGACCCACCTGTACATCACATCCCACACCTCATTGCACTTGCCAACTATGCGCTTGGTTTTATCATCTGCCAAATGGCTCTGCTTACTGCGCCGGCCCTTGGCCTTGAGAAACACAAGACTATCCTGTACTCCTGAGGTCGCAGCATTCGTGTCTGCGTCGGGGACCGGGTGGCTCTCGCATTATCTTTGACCCACGCGCAGCTGATGGTGGCGGCGTGGCAGCAGTGTCGGCGTAATGCTTACACCTTTTTCTTATAACTATGAATGAAGGGTTGAAGTATTGTCACGTTTCTGTCTGACTGAAACAATGCTTTTGCGCAGCGTTCATCGCCTTGAGATGGTTCGGTCCACTTAAGTTCTGACCCCATCCGCTTACCGCTGCTCACATTGCCACTACAACTGATTAACCAGAGTAAGCAGAAAAACTATTATAACTAAAAGGGATTGCATCCATTAATGTCCTAACTCGTTACTACATACTGTTGCCTGTAGGCAACATACCAGAAAATCCTCCGCTAACTTGCTTTCACAAACTTATTCATATTGAAAATAGGTTCTCTTGATAGGACAGACATTTACGTTTTTTTCGATTGTCTATCGTTCTGTTTGATCGCAAAATTGTCTTCTGAGTTGTCTTCTTATTTGGAGGGAAATCAGCAAGCTTTCGCGTTAGACTGCAGATGCTCCATGCAGTGAAGGGTTAAAGCGCAGGCCTAACGTCATAAACACCATCGACATCTGAACCATCTCATACAGAGCATCCAACCGGTGATGCAATGGATCATATTGTCCCTACTCATAAAGAGGATATCACAATCTAGATTCAGTCAAGTTGTGTGCCTTCTTTCTACTATCCGATAGCCTTGTCAGTCAGTAATCAACGTGCTTTGAGGTACGCACTTGACGGGCGTATGCAGTGTGACCTAACTACTGTGGTTAATTAAAGTTTAACGGAAAATCGGGCGCAACATCCTGGGCATTTGTTAAGCACCAAAAAGCGAAAGTTTGATGGAACACGTAACCGCTTGACGGATTCTGTGGAAAAAAATAAAATTGAAAATGTCCACTTATGTGCCTCCCCCTTGGGTCGCGTGACACATAAGTTCAGTATGAGTGCATCATAAAGATATTCCACAGTCGCACCGTTTAGGTAACGAAGTGTAGGAATTGAAACTGAGCACATTAATTGGTGGGGCTACGTTGGCGACCGGTCACAACAGGCCATATAGCGTAATGTAAGTAAGTGTATGGGTGCGTCACGAAGACGTTTTTGAGTACTGTTAATGCGGGGGTAGTAACAGCATAAGTGAGGGATGCGTTCCACGCTTGGAACACACGAAGTAGAAAGAAATTCCGGCGGCATCTCAGTCACTCACCTTAAATTGGTGACATCTCAGTTATATTATGATTCAGTTTCAGAAGGTGGCGACACGCATGGATGGGATTCCTCAGGATCCGATATTTCATAATCAGGTCGCCGCACAAGCGTCGATGTTGTCTACTGTAGATCCAAAGAGTTTCCGGTCTCACTTGGTCTCCCCTCATTGTGCCAGGGCTTCCAGCCTTGGATAATGTGTCAGCTGTACGCCGTAACGGCACTTCGCTGCCGCGCGACCACCACCAGTCGCGCGCAGGCTGAGTATACCGCGAGGACGCCCACCCCTACGCGGATTCGAACCGGTGACCTTATGGTTGCTAAGCAAACGTGCAGACCATTCGGCCACCGGCCGACGATGGATGGCGTATTCCGAATGGGGCTGGATGTGAGCGCTCTGCATCTGAGTGACGATGGAAGGCTCAAATCACCGGAATATTCTCCGCAATGGACTAAGGTGTAAGGTGCCTTTTTGGATGCTTTCTCCGCCAGATGTGAGCAGCCCAGATCTAGTACCGCCGTGCTTGTTCGCATTCAATAGAGGCGGGCTGCAAAACTTAATTCCGCAGTGTATACTTGCAAGTGGGCTGACATCCCGTACTTACATTTGGTGGCGGTAACCTGGTAGGCTCTGAGTCGTCCAATTGGATGCCTTAATTAGATCATCCTGCAGTGCTGCGTGGTCACTTGTACTTTTGATGGCCCGCCATATCATGAGCTAATAAATAAATAAATAACGTTTTTATTCTTGACAACGCGAGGCACGCCTTTACAGGCATGATCATGTTAACATAACAATGCGTGATCAAGAATGTGCAAGAATCCGATATGTTTTTCGAAACAGTGTGTATTAGTATAATGTTGTGTACACGTAGGTAATTATGTGGGTGTATGTAGCTGTGTAATTTGTGCTTGTAACTGTGCTGCTCCATTCTTGAATGTTTGATATCGTCGGTAATGTGCGAGTAGAACATTGATGTCCATGGGGTGGAAAAATTATCCGGATATCCACGGGGCAGTGACGAGTCCCTACCGCCACTTTACAGTGTTGTTAAGCAGACATTTGTGGCTTTTTATATGGAGAACGCTTGCAAGGCGAAAACCCACCACCTCCTGGAACACGGCAACTCCATGTTTGCATTGCAACTCACACCATGGTATGGAGATTTACTGGTTCATTGCTTCTCAGCCATGTCTAAGTGGTTCCATTGCAAATCCGTTGTGAAGATATCATCATGCCCAGGTGTGTCACGACATACTCATTTGAGATATTAGATAATTAAATGTTGTGCCAGGTACTTCTTTGTAAGTTTGCTAAACCAGTTGGCAC